ATGCTGAAATAATACTGTCGTGCAGATTGTCCACAAGAAGACTGCCTCTGTTTTATGCTTGACCTCGGTAAAAAATGAAGATAAATTGGAGTTCAGCAAGATTTTGGAGGCCATCAAGGTATGTAATATTAAAATACATGCTCCTTTATTGGTCATGAATTAGATAAGAATGTAAATTATGATCCAAAGGGGCAAATCCTAATCTTGTTATGCTGTTGTTTCAGGCCAATTTCAACGATAAGTATGATGAGTTGCGTAAGAAATGGGGCGGTGGTGTTATGGGGTCTAAGTCTCAGGCCAAAACAAAAGCAAAGGAGAGGCTTCTCGCAAAGGAGGCTGCACAAAGGATGACTTGAAGGGACATGTTTTGCTGTATTGTCTATTAGTCATAGAATCCAATGAGGATAGAACTTAATCTTATTATGTGCACTTGTTTACTCGATTTTCTTAATAGACATCAATTTTTTTTTTCGGTTTGACAGTTCTTTTTTTTTTTTTGTTTTAATTTCGAGCCATTTGATTGAAACCTTGAAAGAAATTATCTTGTTTATTGCTGCTCTATATTTGCATTTTTGGGTCTGATATTCTGCTGCTGTTTTATTTTATGATTATATGCTTTGGAGAAAAGATGAGTAGCTGGGCAAAGCAGCACCACAGAATATATTTAGAGATAAAAGCCTTAGGCATTTATTGTTGCGGACACAATTATTGTTGGAGAAATAACTCTTTTGACGCAAAATTTGGACTCTTTCTATTCACGCAAACGTGTACCATTCACATTAAATCTGACATTTCAATCTTCCTACCATACATGAAAATTAAGTCAGATAAAGAATTCTTCAATGACTGACAGACAGACTCACAAAAATGAGGCTTGAGAATTCTGTATTAATATGACCTTCACACAAAAATGGGCAATATATATTCTTTTCAGTTCTCCACGGACCACATTACAGTGTACAGTACAAATTCATCTGTTCACATCCATGAATGAATGGAAAAAAAAAATAATAATAATAATAAATAAATAAAAAAAAGATGCCATAAACCATAACAAGACAACCTTTATTCTAACTTAAACAAACTACATCAAACAACAAACCAAATTGGTCCCATTCCTATCTAACAATTCATAGTACCATTCATAGAAAATTAAAAAACCTCTGTAATTTTACACAACATATAAAATCATATAAATTGCTATAATTAAAATAAAATATAAGGAAAAAAAAAAAAGAAAGAAAGAAGGCCATGCACTGGCACACCTGAAGAGTGGAAAGTGCATAAAAATCACACCTTTATAGGGAAAAATCTCAAAAAAAATATACACAGCCAGCCAATCCAATCCAATCCCTCCAAAAAAAGCAATAACTTTAAAATCATTTCATTTTCTCTTGAGAATCATCCTTAGAGGACATCAGCAGCTGATGATTTTGATTATGATTCTGATTTTCTTGATGAACAGATCGACCCGGCCCGATCTGCTGATAAACCTGACTAAACGGATTCAGAACCCCAACACTCCCATCCTGCTGCGACAATCCAAGCTCCAAACCCGGAATCTGCTGGCTGCTTGCGCCCAAAATCGAGGCGAAGCTCATCGAGCCCGGCAAGTCAAAGCCCGCAAAGCCCATCTTCTGCATGTAGCTCGGGCCCTCGGGCGCTGCCGCCGCCTGGAACCCAAAACCGGAAGCAGGCCACAAGCCCACTCCCGAGTGCGGCCAGGGCCCCCCTCTGCCCCCGCTTGAATCGTCGATCTTGCGGTGCAGGCCCGAGGAAATCGAAATCGGGCCGCCCGGGTGGGGGCTCCCGCTTGAGACGACGGCGGCGGCGGCGAGGGCGGAGGCGGGGATGGTGCCGGTACCGGTGGCAGCTATGATTGACGGCTCGGCCTGATTGAGCAGCCACTGGACGGTCTCGCCGTCGGATTTGTGCCCTAATTCGCGGGTGAGCTGAAAAATTCGGGCGGCGCAAAGGGCGGGCATTCTAATCCGCCGCCCCCTGCCCTCGACCTTGGTGTGCCGGTCCTTGTTGGAGCTCCGTTTGGGGCCCAATTGGTGCTTTTTGGGATCCTCTTTCTCCGGCGCCACAGCGACGAGCTGTAAGTCTTTGATTCCGGCGGCGGCCCTGTTGTCGGTCTCCGGCGTG